CAGGCTGAGTTTAGAAGGGGTCGTGGTACTAGGGATATTGTAGCTAATGTTAGATGGATCTTGGCTGAAAGCAGGGAGTATCAGAGGAATGTCTATCTGTGTTTCATTGACTATGCAAAGGCATTTGACTGTGTGGATCATAACAAACTGCAGCTGACTATGAGAAGAATGGGAATCCCAGAACACTTGATCGTGCTAATGAGAAACCCCTACTGGGACCAAGAGGCAGTCGTTAGAACAGAGCAAGGAAACATTGCATGGTTCAAAATTGGGAAGGGCGTACGCCAGGACGCTACCACCTTTAGTATCACACAGTGTCACACACAAAACTCCAGACAAGACCAAAGACAGAGATAAATGCATGATCCTTAGCCAGTTTTGATAATGGAAGAAATTGAAGCTGCACTGAAGGCATTTGCAAAAGTAAGGCCCCAGGAATCATGGTAGTACCAATTGACGTTTCAACTAACAGATGCAACCCTGGAGTTACTCACAAATTTTTGCCAGGAAACTTGCAGAACAGCAAGCGGGCCAACTCACTGGAAGAAACTATATATTTGTTCCCATTACCAGAAAGGTGATCCAACAGAAAGTGGAAATTCTCAAGCAATATCATGAAAATCACAGGCAAGCAAAACATTGCTGCATATCGTACAAAACTGGATAGAACTATCCATAGAGAACTGGGCTCCGGGCATCAGCGCTGGCGGTGCTGCAGCCGCCGCTCGCCCGCGGGCCATGGAGCACCGCATCGTGGGGGCCGGGCCTTACCGGGCCACCAAGCTGTGGAATGAAACGATTGAGCTTTTTCGTGCTAGGATGCCCTTACGGAAACACCGCTGTCGCTTCAAGAGCTACGAACGCTGCTTCACAGCGGCGGAAGCTATGGATTGGCTGCATGAGTTACTCAAGTGCAGTCCAAACTTTGGCCCTGAAGTGACTCGCAAACAAACAGTCCAGCTATTAAAAAAATTCCTGAAGAACCACATTATTGAAGACATCAAGGGAAGACGGGGCCAGGAAGATTTTGAAGACAACCGTCATTTATACAGATTTCCTCCTTCTTCACCATTGAAACCATATCCAAAGAAGCCCTCATACCAAAAGGATGTGATTAAATTTCCAGAATGGAATGATCTGCCACCAAGTACTTCACAAGAGAACATCCCAGTGAAGCCAATTGTTATGAATTCCGAAATGTGGTACAAGCGTCACAGTATTGCTATTGGAGAGGCGCCAGCTTGCCGCCTTATCCACCGCAGACAGCTGACAGAGGCCAACATCGAAAAGATCTGGAAATCCATGACCTTATCTTATTTACAGAAAATCCTTGGCCTTACCTCCTTAGAAGAAGTTTTAGACAGCACAGTTATCAACTCCAAATTCATCATCCGTAACGTGTACAATGTTAGCAAGCATGGGGTGGTTATTCTCGATGACAAGTCAAAAGAACTTCCCCATTGGGTACTGTCAGCTATGAAGTGTTTGGCAAATTGGCCAAATTGTTCAGATTTGAAGCAACCTATGTACTTAGGATTTGAAAAAGATGTCTTTAAAACTATAGTTGATGACTACAGTCACTTGAAAGAGCCTCTGTTCACATTTCATCTTTTTGACGCTTTTGTCAGTGTCTTAGGTTTGTTACAGAAAGAGAAAATGGCTGTTGAAGCCTTTCAGATTTGCTGCCTTCTCCTGCCGCCTGAAAATAGGAGAAAGTTGCAACTGCTGACAAGGATGAGGACAAGGATATGTTTGAACAAAGAGATGCCACCACTATGTGATGGGTTTGGCACCCGGACGCTGATGGTTCAGACATTTTCTCGCTGCATCTTGTGTTCCAGGGATGAAGTTGACCTGGATGGATTATTAGCTGCTAGGTTGGTGACATTTCTGATGGACAATTACCAGGAGATTCTGAAAGTTCCTGTAGCCTTGCAGACCTCTATAGAGGAGCGTGTGGCTCACCTTCGAAGAGTTCAGATAAAATACCCAGGAGCTGATATGGATATCACTCTATCTGCCCCATCCTTCTACCGTCAGATTAGTCCAGAGGAATTTGAACACCAAAGAGCACACGGCTCTCAGGAGCCTCTCGCAGCTTTGTTGGAGGATGTCATAACAGACACCAAACTCTCCAGCAAGGAGAAGAAGAAAAAGTTGAAACCGTTTCAGAAATCCTATCCTGAAGTTTATCTACAATGATTTCCTACACCAAAAAGTGAAACACTTCTGTTTCCTGAAAAACCTAAACCAAGACCACCGCTACTGATTTGGGCACTAAGAAAGCCTTTCCAACCATTTCAAAGAACTAGAAGTTTTCGAATGTGATTAATTACACCCAGTAGAGAACCCTGTTGTGGTTTGTGTGAATGGGCAGTTAGCAGAGAACATTGATGGTGGGAGAATAATAGAATAAAACATGGACTACTGAAATATATTGAAATAAAATATTATTTGG